GGTCCAAGTCCATCTCATGTGTGGCCAGAGCCGGAAATTTCCCACAGAAGCAACTTTCACATATGAACAGTTATCAGAAGAAAGTATATCAAGGCCATAACAAGATACATATGGTGTTCTTAGTGATTGTTTGAAAGGCAAAGAGCAAAATTGTTTTTCCACCCCTGGGTCCTTGCTTCAAATGAATGCAGTAGCAAGGCGGGGCCAGGCTGAAGCCACGAACCAGAAACTACCTCTGAGTGTCGCGCAGGGGTGGCAGGGCCCTGGGGGTTTGAGCCCTCACCTGTGTCTGCCATGGTGCCCACTGACAGGAAGTCTGGCTCAGTCACAGAGCTGGGGCTTCAACCCCAACGCCAATGTGGGGTTTGGCATCCGAGGCATCATCATAACTGTTGTCCCAGAAGCCTGTCTCTGTCACGACACCTTTCCACCAGAAGCCTGACAGCTGCAGGGGGAGCTCTGGAGCCAGCACGTTTAAGGATCCGGCTGCCCGGTGCAGCAGCAGAGGGCGAGGAGTGTGGCACACAGCACTGAGTGCCCACCAGTTGGTAAGGTTTGGTTTTACCAGATGGCGTATCTTTATATGCCAGAGTTAAATTCTTGTTAAAAACAATTAGCTATATATGTTATAAGGATCTTTGGTTGATGGCTTTCCCTTGCTGCGCACCTGCTGCCGTGTGGAACTTTCTGGAGTTGGGACTTAGTGATGTGATCACAGTGCCCCATCCCCCACCCCTCCCAGGACATGGAAGCATGGGTGGAGAGAAAAAATTTCAAGAGATAATAAGATGATCATGCGGCCTTCGGGGTGGCCTTTAGCCCGTGTGACCGTGTCCTTCAATAAGAGGTTATTTGGACACCCATCCACCCCAGGACTGCCGGCACCCAAAGGAGAGGCTGGTGTAGGACGGGACACCATGAGCAGCCAGCTGCGAGTCCTGGAGGAAGGGCTCACCGGAACCAAAGCTGCAAGCCTTCCCGCTGTGAGGGAATGGGTGTCTGGACTCTGGACCGTGCAGCAGCCTTAGCCAGCCGCTGCAGTCAGCCGTAAGTCCTGGCGGAGGTGCCTTGACTCAGGGAGCCTCAGTCCCATGGAGAAACCTGAGGTTCCCGGAGGTGCCTTTGCTATAACCAGGCCCCTTTCCAGCCCCGCCCTGTGCAGGGGTAGGGCACACATCTCATTTGGGGAAACACAGGGCTCTCGCCGCCCTGTCACTTGGTAGGGCCCATGGCTGTTAGAGCTCCTCCGACAGGCTGGCGGCGGCCTGTCTTCCGTCCCCAGGCCACATGCCATCGAACCGCATGCACACTTGGCTCAAAGTGGTGCTTGTACTTGACGTTTTCCATCCAAGTGCCAGAAACAGACGAAGGATGTTTGAAAACAGTTTGCGAAATTTTGGCAGATCCATCGGCAATGAGTAGTGGATTGGTCCGGGTGGTTTTGCAGGAGTTGAAGCAGATTCTGTGGCTGCAGTGGTGACAGTGACAGATCTTGGTGATGGGGCCTCTGCCACAGTTTTATATAATACTGGTTTGGTATCATCACAGAAAAAACCTTCTGTCTGGGGCTCTCAGAGCCAGCCACGTTGTACAGCTTACAAGGGCCCAGCCAGAAACATGCATGCACACACACCTCCCCCCCCACCACCACCACACCCCACTGCAGATGAAGTATTCCTCTGCCTCAGAACAGCCAGGGACAGGCCTTTGGCACACATCCCTACAGCCAGGAGATTACCAAGTTACTGGAGTAGCCCGTTCCATGCTGCCGTGCTGCAGCCTGGTGATTCTAATAAAGGCCCTAGACCGGGCCCTCCCTCTGAGGACTCGTGCCCCTCTGGCTCCTGACCACCTGCTGCTTCCCTGTGTGGCCCTTTGGGACGTGTATGCAAGGGGCGACCTGTGAGGGCATCATCCGGGCCTTTCTGCATCTCTCCCTGTCTTCCCTCGGAAGGGATCACAAAGCACTCCACTCTCCTTCACTGCTCCTGTCTCAGCTGCTCCTTGCTCGGCTGGGAGTGGTCTTTGGAATCTGTGACACCTGTCTGCCTGCCCTGCTTTGCTGTAAGCTCCTGGAAGCAAGAACTTGGATTCTTCTTTGCTTCTACACTCCTGAAGGCTTGGCGCGAGGATGCGGTAATCCTTTGTGGAGTGAATAAAGGAGATTGAAGAATTGGGCTTTGAGGGCAGCTTTGGAGAGCTGTCTCTGCAGCCAGGATCTCTTATCAGTATCGGGTGGAGACACCTTTGTGTCTTTCTGCCTTTGAGTTCTTGGGAGGACCCAAGTTCCACTCACAGATGGTCCTTGTTCCCCTGCTGGCTAAGGCTCTGTTGGTGCGCAGGGCTACGGGGATGACTGGTCACACCCTTTTCCTCTTGCAAGGGGGAAGAGGGAGAAATGGAGAGTCTGTTAGACTCAGATGCATTTCAGAAGGATGATGAGAGAACAGTAAACTGATTTGAAAATCTAACATGTTCCTGTGATGACTCAGTGCTTATTGAAGGTTATTTGCATGATATTGAGAAGATGGAAGAAATTGGTCACCTAGTGTCCAGCCTCTCAGACATATCACCCCAACATTCATCAGAAACAGGCTTTTTTTTCCCTTAAAGCTTTATTTATTTTTATTGGAAAGTCAGATATACAGAAAGGAGGAGAGACAGGAAAATCTTCCATGTGATTGTTCACTCTCCAAGAGGCTGCAATAGCCAGAGCTGAGCCGATCTGAAGCCAGGAGCCTGAAGCCTTCTCTGGGTCTCCCACATGGGTGCAGGGTCCAAGGCTTTGGGCCGTCCTCGACTGCTTTCCCAGGTCACAAGCAGGCAGCTGGATGGGAAGTGGGCTGCCAGTATTAGAACCGGTGCCCGTATGGGATCTCGGCGCGTTCAAGGTGAGGCCCAGAAAGTTTTTCATGCCTGTGTGGAAATGAGTCGTACCAGGCTCTGTCATTTTATTTTGCTTGATGTAGGCGATTGCAGAATTTTTTTTGACTATTACAAAAGTGTTGAACAACCCTTGTACATACATCTTGCCATGCATAATAGAGTCATCAGCTAGAGTGGAAGGTTTTAGACCAGGACTTCTTAAAGACTCTAGGAGAGTTGTACCAGTTCATGGGCCTGCGCAATGGCTCAGTTGGCTAATCCTCTACCTGCAAACTCTGGGATCCCATATTGGTGTTGTTCATGTCCCAGCTGCTCCACTTCCCATCCAGTTCCCTGCTTGTGGGCTGGGAAAGCAACAGAGGACGGCCCAAAGCCTTGGGACCCTGCACCCGCGTGGGAGACTCGGAGAAAGCTCAGTTGCAGCTGTTGTGGCCATTTGGGGAGTGAATCGTGGATAGAAGATCTGTCTCTCCTCTGTAAATCTGCCTCTCTAATAAGGGAAATCCCAGGCCCTATGGAATTGTATCATAAAATGATAATAAATAAAAGAAAAAGAAAAAATTAAAAAAATAGAAGAGTTGTCAGTTCATCGGTCTCAGTTGAGTGCCACAGTGCCCACTCCCCTGGCACGCAGCCAGCTTTGGGGATTACAAAATAGTGAAGTGTGTCACTGTGCCTAACGACAAGTGCCATTAGTGGAACTGGCATTTTACGGTTGGGGTTTGCATTTCCGGTGCAGGTCACCCCTGGACTGAAGCATCTTCCTGTCCGTGAATTACCTGTGTTTGGTGGCGTCGTTTCTTACATCGTTGCTTCTTGTTTTGCACGTTTACTTATAAAACCCTCTTTATTTGAGCATGGTCGCCTTGTTTTGTTACATATGCAAATATGACCTTCCCACGAAGCCTTTTATCAAAGACCAAAGGGCAAGGGCACTTAAGGGGAAAATGCGGTAAAAGGAACAATATTGTTAGCATATACTTTTTTTTTTATTGATGTATTTGAAAGGTGGAGTGATGGATTTCCCGTCAGCTGGTTCACTCCCTAAGTAGATACGGTGGCCTGGGCTGGACCAGCCCAAAGCTAGGAACCTGGAACAACACCTGGTTCTCTTACATGGCTAGTGGGGTCTGATGCTCGGCTGGGTGCATCAGCAAGGAGCTGGATCAGAAGCTGAGCAGCCAGGACTCTAACTGGTGCTCATGTATGACACCAGTGTTGCGGGTGGAGGCTTGGCTCACTGTACCGCAACACCAGCCCTTAGCTTATGCTTTAGTATGAAGTGTGGTGGCATTCTGTCTTATTTGAATATGTTGCCCCTCGAATTGCATGCCAAAGAGTGTGAGCTGAGTGTGTGGCTGTGGAGGAAGTTGGACTTGCAATCGGTCCTAGCGCTTCGTTCTGTCACCTCAGGTCTGGTGCAAATGACTTAGCCTCTGCACACGCAGGTTCTCTCCTGCAGAGGCAGGCCCCTTCCAGCCTTGTTCTGGGAGGGGAGCAGCTTGGCGCTAGTGTGGGGTGCAGAGGCCACTCTCTGTCAGCACTTGCTCCTGCAAGATGTGCTCCTTGTGTAGTCAACTTCATTTCAGTAAGCAGCATACCTGTTTCACTCAGTGTGTAGCCTGCCAAATTATTCATTAAAAGCATGATTTTTTAAAATGCTTTAAACAGGTAGAGTTACAAAAAGGGAAAGAGATAGGGATGTTGAGGGGTGGGAAGGGAATTTTCCCTCTGTTGATTACTTCTCAAGTGGATGAAATAGCCAGGGCTGGGCCAGACCAAGGCCGGTAGCCAGGAGCTTCTTCTGGGTCACCAACATGGGTACAGAGACTCAACCACTTAACTCAAACTCCACTTTCTTCCCAGGCCATTAGTAGGGAGCTGGATCCAAAGTGGAGCAGCTGGGACTTGAATCAGTGCCCAGATGGGATTCCAACATTGCAAGTAGCAGCTTAATGCACAATGCCACAGCATTGGCCCTGGTACAAGGCCAAGTGTACACCTGGGAGCAGGAAAATTCTTAGCTAACTCAATTGTTTATCTGATTCTAAAGTCTGGAAAGGCCTGCCCTCTCTCCTCAAGATTGTCGCTCAGTCTATTCCTTTCCCTTTCAGGTGTGGCTGGATCTCCTAAAACCCATTGTGAAGCAGATCAGACGTAAGTAACTTGGCCAGCCTGGATGACGTGCCCAGCCGGGGCATTACACTGGCTGGACGCCTCTGTCCTGTGCCGCTTGTAACCCAGCTGCTTTTCATCGTCCACCACTCCGTGTACCATTAACTGTCTTCTGTAATTTTCATCTGTAGCAACTTGATAATCAAAAGCTTGCATGGGAATTCAAAGATTATTTTGATTAAAACACTGCAGCCTGCTATTAACCTGCAGAGTAACTGAGCTTGTCTCATCGGGGAGGAGGGAAGCCATGCGTTCATGAAACCAATTTTACGTTTTTTGTCCTCCCTCCTTTGCCAAAGCCTGTGCAATCAACTGCAAGTGTTGTTCAGAAAGCCAGGGTTGCCCAGTGTGTGTGTGTGTAAGAGGGTGGGCAGAGCTGTGATGGGAGTTGTGGGAGGCGGGGGTCTGGGTGGAGAGGCAGCTGAGGGTGTGTGAGAGTGTGTGTGTGTGTGTGTGTGTGTGTGTGTGTGTGTGTGTGTGTGTGTGTGTAAAGGCAGGCAGAGCCGTGTAATAGGAGCCCCATGCGCATACAGACTGCAAGTTGGAAGGAAAAGGTAGAGGAGAACCTGGGAGAGGCGTAAGGGAAGAGAATACCTGCTTTCTTGCTGGACCATCCTCCCTTCCCCTGAGCTCTGGGTTCAGGGTGACCTTTTCTTCCCAGGGTCATCTCACTGGAGACCAGGCGAAGGCCTGCAGGTCACAACAGAGCCACATTCCTGTGATTGCAGATAAAGTTCCGGATATCTGAGGGATTGCTTTGTATGTTTTGGTTAAAAGTCCCCAGAGGCCACTTCCAGCAGTTTATGTGGCTGGAATCCGTTAGCTGTTGTGATCATCTGTCATTTAAATGAAGCCATTGGCCAGGCAGAGGGATAGTCCTCAGGGAGCGAGAGGAGGGCTGTGTGCAGCGCACACCCAGAGGCACTGTTGGTTGCCATGGGATCAGACAGAGCTGGCTGTCATCTCTGGTCCTCTCCATGTGCTGTGACAACGCTGTCACTCCACAGGTTTTCTAAGGATCCGCAGATCTTTGTAACTCCCTCTGGATGAAAAATGACTGAGAGGAAGTGATGCCACCTTCCCCCGACCCCTCTCTCACCCTGGTCGTCCTGTGCTCCCCCAGCCAACGGACGTGCACTTGCATGAATTTTGGAGTTAGTGGGAAGCATGGCTCAGCCCTGCTGGCTTCTGCAGCTCTGTGCCTGGCTTTCCTCCCAGTTCTGCAGAACATCAGCATTCCACCTTAGGATTTACGATTTGGGGTTTTCTTCCTATGCTTGAGTGTTTTCACAAAATGGGTTTGTGTGTGTGTGTGTGTGTGTTATGAAAAGGAGAGCAAAAAGCCACGTTTTGCTTTTATAATTGTATCAGCAAAACTGGGGCTTCTTTGTGGTGCCGCTGTTCCTGAAACACAGCGCTCCGTCCCTCAAAAGGAGTGATTGCTGTCATAGCTCGCGCAGCAAAGCACAAAGCTCCGACCCAAATCTCAGGTTCTTACGATCCATTTGAGAATCTCCCTCTGGAAGAAGACACCCATCTCGCTCGGTCTTCCCTGCAGCCCGCCATCTGCTCGAGGGACGGCAGCCGACGGGGCAGTGCTGTGCCATGGGACTGCCCGGGTGCCAGGCACGTTTGATGAGCACGTTAGCAAGTGCACCGTGTAATCGGAAGTCACCATCAGTGGCATAACTGCTCGACCTTCTCACTAATTATCAAAAGCCTGTTTTTGAATCAAAGCAGCCAGTCAACTACGTTTCTGAAGATAAATGACTTTTTAAAGATGGGTTATAGTTGAAGTCTCTGCAGGCAAGTTTCAGTAGCGGAGCCTTTGTCATAGCATAGATTATAAAACAGATACTGGCTTCCTTGTAATATGAAAATATCAGTTAGAGGTCAAACTGATGTGTGATGCAAGGATTGGATTAATTTTCACTCCAGGCTCTTGTCAAGCACAGAAAACATGTATTCTAAATGCTGACACATGTGAGATGTGCAAGGGGATACAGAGGTTTAAAAGATGAGAAAGTGCACACATACACACGCATACACACGCAAGCCGCACTCGGATATCTGCTACCGTGGAATGGCTGGCCTGGCAGGACAGAGCATGGGACAGAGGCGGAAAACAGCCCCGTGGCCATGCTCCTCCAGCCGTAGTCTCTGGTGGGAGAGAGCCCCTCCCAGTGGGTGGTGTCAGTTACGAGGTTGAGGGCGGTCCCTCCAGGTGTGAAGCCGTTACTTGGCGCCTCCCCAGGCTTCATGTGCAGCCCAACATCCGTATTTCATGGTACTTCTCCCTAGGTCCTGGGTGAAGCAGGTGCATCTCAGGAAAGGAGTCCCTTAATGGACAAATAGGAGGATGGAATGATGTGGGGGCTTGTGACTTCCAGCTCAGCAGACCCAGCTAGCTGCCTGCCTATCCCATAGCCAGAGTTGAATGCCTTGGAGATTGACTGGTGAGCTTGAGAAGGTTCAGTGAGCTGCGCTGCTTGGTGTATGGCATATGGCACACAGTCTTGGAGACACAAATCAATAAATGCTCTACTGCTTTTCCCTCCTTCTTTAGGGCCAAAGCATGTTGTTGTGAAGTTTGTGGTGAAGTTCTTTCCACCTGACCATACACAGCTCCAGGAGGAACTCACCAGGTCTGTGGCTTGGAAGCTGGGGGACAGAGGGTGTGGAGGCAAATATTCTGGTTTGTTGCTGTTGCTGTAGGATGCATGGGAAAAGAAAACACGTTCTGTGTTGAAGAGATCAGCGTTTTCCTGGCTTTGCCTTGGCCAGAATCTGCTCTATGTTCAACGGCGAGACCAGCCCCCACCTGCCCCAGCTCTGTCTACAGAAAATGGTGTGAAAGAAAGTGTCACGCTTTCTTAAAGCCCGAGGCCTTTGGGGCTGTGACGTGAAGTGAACCGGATGTATGACCTGTTAATATCACCTTTCCATCTTACGCTTGCCACATGACGGGAGAGCTTTGGGACATGAATCTGGTAAAACCAACATGTCGACTTCTGGTGCATCCGTTACTCCGTGGATGGTGTGAACTTGCACTGGCGGTCCATCTTGCCTTTGGAAACGCTGCTTTACTTTCATCTTCTGTGACTCATGACCTCTAGAAACACTTCCCAGTTTTCCCGCATGTGGGTCCTTTCTTTGTAAAACACTGCTGCCCGGCTGCCCCACTGGCTCCGGAAGCCCACAGCTCTTGGAGCACGAGCTCTGCTGGGTGTGGCCCGCTGTGTTCTTGTTTGCTAGTTTCTCATGCAAGTTGAGGTGTTTTCCAAGAAGTCTTTTGGCTCAACGTTGAGTAGAATTGACCTGGATTTCTATTCTATTTTGCCATGGCCCATCCCCATCCGCACAGCAGGTGCTACAGGAACCCTCACGGGCCCGTGGGCTGCGGCTCTCACAGCCACGTGCGCAGGGATGTGGAGACAGCTCCATTTTCAGGCCCGTTTCTGTGGTAGACGCTGAGCGAGGGGTATCAGGGAGGTATCAGTGGTCCTGTAGGGGAGGAACTTGGTAGACGAGAGACCTACACGCTTCCTGCACTTTAGAAGGGAACGGTTGACTCTAGCCCTGCAGTTAATTCTCTGGATGGCATGGAGTAGCTCGCAGCCTTCCCGCTTTCAGAGATGGAAGAGTCAGTTGCACTTTGCTGTTAAACAGAAAGCTGACTTCCATTCATGGTGCCCAGTTGGAAGAAGGCCTGAGTTGCAGGTGCGGGTTGGAAACAGCTGGCAAGCGGTCTGAGGGAGAGGGCTGACCTGTTTGTCCCTGCACAACTTTGCTGGTGCTCATGGGTGTGGCCGCACCTCCCCCTTCTGCTTCTCGGTGGCCCTAGCTCCCCTGGGACCCACACCTGTTTGGCTGTGTGCTCCTCAGCGGGGGGGGATCATATCAGAACTTCCTGATCTCTGTCTCCCGCAGCCTGAATGACAAGGGGTGGGCATGTGGCCTGGCCCTTGAAATGCCCGCTAGGATGCCCTCTTCCCAGATGGCCAGTGTATGGGTTTGACTTCCAGCCCTGGCTTTGCCACTTTTCCATCCCAGCCCCACACATTCATCAGTGAGTCAGTGAATCCTTGTCGTCTCTGGCTTTCCGCTGCCTAAAGGTTAAAGAAAAAAAAGTAGAAAGAAGAAATTCAAGTTAAGTAAGTTGTTCCTGGTCCCTAAGAAGTAGAGCTGCTCGGGCGGGGTCCAGCCGCCATCGCTGCCACCGAGAGCAGGTTCTGTTTGAGTGCTTTGTCTTCATTCTGGATACGGGATTAAATTTCTCTGGTGCCTGCTGGGTGAGTTCTTGTGAATTCACTTGGAGTCATTTCTGTTTTTAGTGCTGAAAGTGTTACTGAATCTTCAAGGTCAGCATGCGGCCGGTGTGCTGCTCGGCTCACACCTGGTGTCCTGAAGGAAAGCCGCAGGCATGCCCGGGAGGTGTTGCCTACGCTCCCAGGGCCTGGCACCAGGCGGGTCAGCAGTGTCCCGTGTGTGAGCGCCTGATGCCACCCTGTAGTCCCCGTGAGACAACCAACAAAGGCCTCTCTGCTTCAACTGGAAGATGTTGACATATTCAGCATGTAAACCTTTGGAAATTTTTACAACTTTTTTTTTTTTTTTAATTTAAAAGGCAGAGACCCGGGGAGAGATGTAGATAGATGGGGGGTGGAATCTCCTTCCCGCGAGTCCCCAGCTGTGCAGGCTGGGCCAGGCGAGAGCCAGGAGCCTGGAGGGCTATCGCATCTCTCCTGGGGATCGCGGGGAGCCACCCCTGGAACTGTCACGTGCTGCCTCTCAGAGTACGCGTGAGCCCGCTGCCCCAGAGGACCTCCAGCGGAAGGTGACGCTTTTGATGCAAAGCCTTCCCATTTATTGGAAACAGGAGGCACATGGAGTCCAAGCCTGTGGCTGCACAGGCTGTTCGTTTCAAAAGACAAGCACCTTCTCTTCTAGAAAGACCTTTTGTGCAGCGCCTTCCCGGGCGAACCTGCAGGTTGATGTGTAGTTGTGTTCTCTGCTTTTCTGCATTTCAACTTTGTAGTGTGGAGAGAGAGCGAACAAGAGAGAACAACAACAACCAAAAAACATTATGGGAGTTGAGTTAAAGGTCAGCTCTGGTCAGCTGGTAGAGCCAGGTTTTGTTTTCTGGGTTTCTGTTTTGTTTTTGTCTTTTTTTTTGCTAATTACACAGTTGTTACTAGTTACACAGTTGCAACTTCTTGGTTCTTAATAATAGAACCTCTTAAATAGCATTAAAGGATTTCATTATTCCTTTATTTAAAACCAATGCTAACATTTATTGAATGTTTGTTTGGATCATTCTAGTCCGTGGTAGACAGTTCTAAAGAGTTCGTGAGAGTGTCCGACAGGCTAATCCTTTGCCTGCAAGCTCCAGAATCCCTTATGGGCACCAGTTCATGTCTGCTCCACTTCCCATCCAGCTCACTGTTTATTTCCTGGGTAAGCAGCAGAGGACAGCCCAAAGCCTTGGGTTCCTGCATCTACATAGGAGAACTGGAAGAAGCTCCTGGCTACTGACTTCAAATAGACTCAGCTCTGGCCACTGAGGCCATTTGGGAAGTGAACCAGTGGTTCTATGTCACTCCTCTCTGGAAATCTGCCTTTCCAATAAAAAATAGAGTAACTAGAAAATAGTAACTAGGAAAATAGAGTAACTAAAGCAGAAACATATAAAATTGTTACAGTCCTTGTGTGTTTGTGTCCCGGCTGCTTCACTTCTAATCTGGGTACCTGCTCATGAACCTGGGAAAAATAGCAGAGGAGTCCAAGTGCTCAGACCCCTGCACCCACGCGAGAGAACAGCTTGGAGCTCCTGGCTCCTGGCTACAATCAGACCCAGCTCAGACCCCTGCACCCACGCGAGAGACCAGCTTGGAGCTCCTGGCTCCTGGCTACAATCAGACCCAGCACGGACCCCTGCACCCACGCGAGAGACCAGCTTGGAGCTCCTGGCTCCTGGCTGCAGTCTGGCCTAGCTTTGACCATTGCAGCCATTTGGGGAGTGATCCAGTGGGTGGAAGATCCCTCTCATCTAAGAGATGCTGTTTAGGGGGTTCTATTATTAAGAACTAAGGAACCACTTGCTGGCTTTCTCGCCAAGGCTGCAGTGGCTGGGCTGGGCCAAGGTGAAGCCAGGAACCTAGAATTATATCCGAGTCCCCCTTGCAAGTGGTGGAGATTCAAGTGCTTGGGCCATTTGCAGTTTGTTTTCAGGGACGTTAGCTGGGAAGCTGAGTATGGAGTGAGTAGTCAGCACTTGAACTGTTGCTCATGTGGAATGGGGGCCTTTCAGGCAACGGATGAGCCCGCCAATGCCAGCCTCAAGAAAAGATTTTTACAGTCACTAACTTGAGTTGAGTTTTGTATAGCTGGTAACTAAGGCTTTTGGTAACAGCTAAGAGAATGTGGCAACATAAACAAGGTGAATTTTTTTGCTCCAATTTCATTGACAGAGATCTTACTAACCATGATAAACTGCTTTGTGCCATAGAATCGTTTTTGAGGGGGTAGTTGGAAGGACACTGTGAAGAAATTTGTAATGTTTCCTAATTCTTGCAAAAGTACATACGATGATGGCTCTAGTTTTCCATTTTTTTAAATGGCTCTCAAATGAAATGAAATGAAATGAAATGCTGCATTTATTAGGTACAAAGATGGCATCGTATGTCTCCTAATGCTTTGCTTTGTAGGGAAGCGAGTGTCCCCTCTGCAGGGAAGGGTAGCAGAGGCTCCTACAAGCCCCTGCTGACTTGCCTGTCATTTGGCTTTGTGGAACTTTCTCTGGTACCTCTGATGTGGACAGGCTGCCAGGAGTGCCCTGATGCCAATGCTGCCTTCTCCCCTTGACATGGCGCCCTCTCTCTCCATCTCCAGGTACCTGTTTGCGCTGCAGGTGAAGCAGGATTTGGCCCAAGGCAGGTTGACGTGTAACGACACCAGCGCTGCTCTCTTGATCTCACACATTGTGCAGTGTAAGTCTCGTCGCTTTCCTTTGCAGAGCGTGCTAAGCGTGACGCAGTGATTTCATGGGCCGGGGGCTTAGTCACATGTCCCAGAAAAGCAATGATCTAACTTCAACTGATATCCACACCTCAGATGCAGTCTGTATGATCCTCATCTGATGCGTCGTAAGACACAAGTCCACACAGGCTGTTTTGTCCTTTTGGTAAAGGCAGGAATGACCTGAAATGGAAGCTGCAGGTTTCGGAAAGCAGGCCTTCAGACCAAAGCACTAAAGTTGTGCCACGCGTCATCTCTTTAATGTCCGTTGCACACGAAGTAGCAGCTCCGTGTAAGCTGCGCCATCTGTTCTGATCACTGCAGTGAACAGGTTTCTGAAAGTCGGTGTCACTCCTGCTTGTCACCGCATGGTGTGGGCAGTGCTTATCTTTATTTCCGTCTGAGAACTTTTGAATGTCTGCTAGGCTTGCCGAATAGGTGCCTCTTTATCATTTAGGAAAAAAAAGATGAGAAAAAGGAAACTAAAAATGTATGTTTTCTGTGTGCCGTGCCAGTGCCGTTGTCTCATTTTATTGTTATAACCCTCCCCCACCCCACCCAAGGTCAGGATCTACTGTCATTGTCATTTCACAAGTGAGGGAGCTTTGACATAGAACTTACTTTGCCTTTGCTGTGTTTGGTCTTGACTAAAATTTACTTGCTGGTTTTTAAGGCAGAGTGACAGAAAGATGGAGATTCAAACAGAAGTCATCTCTCTGCTAGCTCACGTCCCAAGTAGCCTGTGTGGCTAGGGCTAGGCCTGGCAGAAGCAAGGAGTCACGAGCTCCAGCGGGGTGAGCACGTGGGTGGCAGGGGCCCGGGTACCTGGGACAGCATCTGCTGCCTTCCCTGGTGCATTGGAAGGGTGTTGGCGCCCAGGTGGCGCAGCCAGGATTGGAACTGGCACTCCCACATAGGATGGCAACATCGCAGGCACAATCTAACCCAGTGCACCACAACACCAGCCCCATGATGCAGGATTTTTTAAGGCAGGAAGGCAGCTCTTCCTGAATAGAATAACTTCATAGAATCTTCTGGACCCTTGGTGTTTTGGAAGCAGAAGACAATCCCAACAGATGCCTGACGCGAGGCAGCCTCGTTCCACTTCCCTCTGAAGTTGCTTTTACTTTTTTTTTCCTTATTTAAGATTTTATTTTTTATTTGAAAATCAGAGTTACATAAAGTAGGAGGGAGAAACAGGAGGAGAGAGATCTGTCATCCACTAATTGATTCCCCTTGTGGCTGCACAGCCAGGAGCGCCCATGTGGGTGCATGGGCACAAGCCCGTCAGCCATCTTCCCTTGCTTTTCCAGGCTACCAGGTGGGAGTTGGATCAAAAGTGTAACAGCCAGGACTCGAACAGGCACCCATGGGATGCCGACCTGCCCCACTACATCACAGTATCAGCCCCAGCTTTGTTTTGTTCTTCTCTTCTTAATATTTACACAACTGAGAGGGAGATGCATCCATGTGGTCCTCTCATAAGGCTAGAGGGTCAGGTGTAGGGGAGGGGGCCACTCGTTACTGTCAAACTACATCATCACTGAGGGTGGTGAACTGGGAGACAATGGTTTGTTTGATGACGACTTAAAGACCCCGATGTGGGTCTCTCAACCTGTTGCACTGAGTAGTTAAGTGTGTGAAGAGCTCAGTATAGCCATCCTACAGTGCACGTGTATTTGGAAACATCACGGTTTGATGTGGTACACTTCAAATATATACAGTTCTTATGTCACCAATTTTCGAAATTAAATTGAAAAGCAGTTCTGTTAAGGATGGCATCTACTTCCTCACCCACGTGGGAAGTAGAGATTGACCAAAGTTTGGAAAAGCTGGCCCCTGTCTGTTCCCTCGCTCTTCCCCAGTACCCCTGCTGGCTGGCTGAGTGGTTACCAGGTCTGCATCCCGCAGCACGGGACCTGACTTGGACTCGTGGCTCCCGTTCCTGAGTCCCACTTCCTGTTGAGTGTGGGCCATGTCTGTAGGGTGTGTGTGTCTATCCGGATGGCTGTTCTTGACAAAGCAGGGCTGTGAAGGATGTGCCTGGAGATGTCCATTCTTCCACAGCAGGATTTGGGGTTCTCTTGACCTGTTTTTGGCTACAAGTCAACTGCCAGGGAATATGGTGGTAGTAGATGCATCTGTGACGTAAAAGATGACAAAATAGTAAGGTGGATCTTGAATGTGTTGCTTCTTAAATTCTCAAAGCCTGGTGAGGAGCCTCACCAGGGAAGCATAAAGGCAGAAATTACGTGGCATGTGTTTGAGGAGAGCAAGGGAAACCAGTGGCTTGCAAGGAAAGACAACAAGTGATTGCACCCACTTCCCCAAAATGGAGAATTCCTTTTAAGTGGAATTCGGGGAGGGGGCGCATATTAGAAGGCCCTGGGGCATTAGGAAGCCAAATGCAAAGGTCACAGGAGATGTAGGATTTTGTTGATATTGTCCTGGTTCCTGAATTTGGGGTGCTGTGGTCTGAACAGGAGATGGCTCCCAGGCTCATGTAGGCTGAGGCCGCTGAAGGGGCAGCCCTGCTGTGGGGTGCAGAGGTGAGGCTGCTAAGTGTCCCGAGGCCGCTGAGTGTGGGCCCCGCCCCCCTCGCCCTGCCTGCCACGGGAGTGTCCCCTCCACCCTACCCACGCTCCATCACTGCCGTCCTGTGGCCTTGCCCAACACTCAGCTCAGTTGTGATCTTGGATTATAAACCTTGAAAACTGTGAGAAAAGATTGAATTCACACACTGCTTCTCAGGCATTTCATGGCCATGATGAAAAAATGTCAGGGACTCCCTACTTGCAGATCTGGTCATGCGGGCGTGCCCCAAATGCCCTCTGTGCGCATGCCCGATGACAAACATCCGAGTCACGCTGTGCATTCCCACATGAGGTGGGTTATCGGGCTTTGCTACTGCCTTTTGGCTCAAACTGTTAACAAGTGTCCTTTTCTTGGCCTGTTGAGTGGCATGCTTTTCCATTTTTTGTGGTTATTGTTGGTGATTTCACTGTTTGAAAAGGCCCCCAAGCAGAGCCCTGAAGTGCTGCTCAGAGCCCCTGATCATGGCGCTGTGGTCCACATGGAGCAAGTGTTTCTTCCAGCGTTGAGCGTTGCTGCTAGCCACGAGTTCAGTGTGAATGAATCAACAGTTTATGCTAAATAAATGACTTTGGACAGAAACACCAATGCGCCAAGGTCAATTGACCAAAATATGGTTTTTTCAGAATTTTGTAGGGACTGAAGCGTGTGCTTCCCCGTGGAGTAATAGTTCCATCTCGGAATTGTTCCCAGTGACTTGGTGCTTGGTGCACGGCAACCCCCTCACGTAAGGAGTTTCATCTGTCCTTCCTGGAGACATGATGAAAGGAATTACAGAAAATTCAGAGCTGCCATTGTCACTACAACCAGTAACGGTGTCAGCATGGCCAGGGATGTCCCCGTGTGCCATGTTTCGTGACAGACGTGGCTGTTCTGTCTGCCTGGGGAGGGTGAGGTTAGTCCGGAAGAGGCTTTTAGGAAACAGTGCTTTTGGTCTGTTTCACTAAGAGGAAGGGGGTGGGAGTGGCCCGGTTGCCAGGTGCCCTGGCATTGGCTTATGCAGAGCAGGTCTCCAGCAGGAGTGATTCAAGGTGACACTTGGGCCCTGTGCTGCTGCTTTGTGGGGGTGTCACCTGGAGCCTGAACGGCTGCCTGCTGTGGCACAGTGAGAGGTGGGGTCGTCACAGCCGTGCACTCACTGTTCGTCCAATCACCTGCGCTTGGCCCTCACTCTACTTGTTCCACAGAAAGACCAGACCAGGGAAGGTGTGCAACTCTGAAGTCTTGCAATCGGTGTACGCTGAGCTTGAGCCAGGACTGTTGCACTTAGCTGCGGTTATGGTTCCCAAAGTGCCCTTCGTAGGGACGCATTGTGGCATAGCAGGTAAAGCCACCACCTGCAACACTAGCATCCCGTCTGGGCACTGGGCTGAATCGAGGCTACCGCACTTCTGATTCAGCCACCTGCTGGTGGCTGGGAAAAGCACAGAAAGCTGGCCCAAATGAGAGACTCCTTTAACACCCCTGGTTTCAGCTTGGGCTGGCGCTATCTGTTGAGGCCTTCTAGGGGAGTGAAACAGCACATGGAATTGTTCACTCACTCTCATATTTTTCTAAATCTCTCTCTCTATATATATACATATATACATGTATATATGTATTATAATATGTATATATGTTTTATATATAATAACTATATTAAAATCCCCATCCCTTAATTCTCCACGTGATAGCCGTTTGACTATATTCAGATCATGTGAAGAAACATTATAGATTATAGATAAAATATTTAGCCCATTGTTTCTGACTAAGATGCTGAGAAGTCTAATAAACTCCTGTGAATTAGTTCCCGAAAGCATTAAGTGACCTTCCTTTGTGCCCTTCTGCAGGCCTCTCCATGATGGAGGGTTGGGTGTTGCACTAGTAGTTGCTGTACATGTGATTCAGAAGTTGATTTTGCACAATTCTGGAGTTCAGGCCTGTATAGGCCATATGCCAAGGTCATCCACATGTTCGCTGCCGGGAAAGGAGCTAACTGTGGGGAATAGAAAGGCCAGCTGGGAATGGGGTGGCTAAAAACAGATGGTTCTTGGGTTTTCTGTCTGGTGGGGTGGGAAAGTCTCAGACTGCCTTAAAAACGATAGAAAGATATCCAGGTCTTAGAATATTCTGGAATCACCAGCTGGCTTTTGTAGTCTTCCAGCTTCTGGTTTATTATCTCTGGAGTAAAGAAATCGTGACCTGTTAATCCTATGTGGCTTGTTTTTTTTTTCTGTTTCCTTTTAGCTGAGATTGGGGATTTCGATGAAGCATTGGACAGAGAGCACTTAGCAAAAAATAAGTATGTACCTCAACAAGATGCACTAGAAGATAAAATTGTGGAGTTTCATCATAACCACATGTAAGTTTCATGCATGGATTTGCATTCCTATGGAGCTGTTTCTCTGCTTCCCAGCACACACACTGTCATGAACAAATACACAAAGGGAAGAAACGATGCATGCTGTCAGGGCACCGTGCCCCTCCCTGCAGGGCACCTGCTCGGAAGGAGGCTCAAGGCTCTCGATGGCCTTCCGGTGAGGCCAGAGTCAGCCTAGAATGATGAGGCATCCATGCTTGGGAGTGGAAGGGAGAGGCTGAGGTGAAAGGCCCTTCCAGTGAGGGTCCCAACAGGAGAGTGGGCCTTAGGGGCAGTCCACCTGCTCTGGAATCCACCATGGCTGGCTTGTGTTTTGATCAGTAAAGATGTCAGAGGATCTCTGCTTGTCAGTGTTGTCTCCAGGCGGGCTTCGAGCCTGCTGACAGTAGCAATGAGACAGCCATGAACTTGCTTGCAAGTTTAGCTCATTGTCAGTGACTCAAAATTGGTTTTCATACAGTGGTGTTTTGCTTTTTTGGTGACCTTCAAGGAAACGACAGTTCCAGACAACTGGCCCAGTTCGAGCTAGACTTTCACGGTTTTGCATTACAGGAGCAATAGCGTTTTTGTCCTAGCTGTCAGATTTGGGGTTAGGATGAATAGAAGGCTGGTTGGGTGGCCCCGCTGTTTGTGTGATGCAATACCTTTTTATTTCCCAAGAGAATTCACTTAATCTCAAACAGATTGACCCAGGGAATTCAAATCTCCTTGTCTTTCTCTTTTATTGTTGTGTTCTCAGCGGACAAACCCCAGCGGAATCCGATTTCCAGCTCCTGGAGATCGCCCGGCGGCTGGAGATGTATGGAATCCGGTTGCACCCGGCCAAGGACAGGGAAGGCACCAAAATCAACTTGGCCGTGGCCAACACGGGAATTCTAGTGTTTCAGGTGAGGGCGGTAGGGGCACGGCTTGGTTCCCCTGGTGACGGAGAGGGGAGTTGACCCTTCAGCTCTGGTTCACAATGGGTGGGCGACATTGGCACCCCCCGTGTTATAAACCGAGCCAAGAGAAGCTGACCCCGTCTTAGGTTTTTGTTTTCCAAGCTTTGGGGAAGCCACTTTCGAGATTTGGGTGGGATGGCTGTTGGTTTGTTGAGTTTGTAAGGTCACAGAAGCTTAGTAGAACTGTGCTGGGAACATATGGAACCAAAATTTACCCCCAAAATAAACACCTTTCTGATACTTGCAGATGAAATCTTACAGCAGTATGGCTTTTCTTGTTTGGGGTTTTGTTGCCCTTGGTAACCTGATGCGGTGTGCGCCAGGTTCCCTTCACATATCCCTAATTTAGAACAGAAAGCGCACTGTGTGCGTTTAACATTAGGCCATTGCAAAAACTCCTGAGAACAATGTCTTTGCCTGTGGTAATTCATTGGGAAAGCATAGCATGCTGAAATATCTGCTGTGTTCCGCTTAAGGATGTGCAAGGCTTGTTCCCGTCTGTGCTGCGTTCCCCTGCTCTCCCTGCTCTGGGACCGTTCTCTTCATCAGTGATTCATTGTTGTTGCTGCTACTAATCTTTTTGTTTTTAAAAAGATTTATTTATTTGAAAGGCAGAGTGTGTGAGGGGGGGTTTCAGTCTTGCATTCTCTGTTTCAATCCCCATGTGGCCACGGTGACCAGGTTGGGCCAAGCCAAAGCCGGAAACGCCATCCTGGTTTCCCAAGCACGTGGGCCATCCCCCCACCGCAGTCCCAGGCACATTAGCAGGGGTGAGGCCTGGAGGAGAAGTGGAACAGCCAAGGCTCAAACTGCCCGTGTGTCGGTCAGTGACAGCTTAACAGGCTGTGCCCTTGGGTATCGGTGACACTCGGGGAAATAGACATGTTCAAGTGTGTGGTCTGGTAAGTGTGTGGTGTGTACACCCTGTGACGCTGCAGACAGAAATGAACGTCGCGGAAACCTAGGCGCGCACTTGGCAAAGTCCTCAGTGAAACAGAATTGAAAGATAGATTCGTTTGGTGCTGAGCAAGTCTTGAAGTCCACGCACAGGGTTTTCATTGAGCCCATTTTCCACGTGCTTTGTGAGACTCCTCACCCGCCCCGAGCGTGGGAAAGACGCCCCGCTTTGGCTGCAGCATCTTCCTCGGCAAGTGGGCCGGCCCCGCCCGGTTCAGGAGCTGTGAAGCTGTTCCTGAGCCCGAGCGCTTTGTGAGCCCAGCCATGCCAGCGTCACCTCTGTTCCCCCTTGTGTGTGTGCCCTGGAGACCCAGCCTGCCCGAGCTCAGATGGAGACGCTGATGACAAGCATTCGTGATTCCAGAGTCACATCCCAAAAGTGCAAAGCGGGTCTCATTAGGAAACAAATGAAGCTCTGAAGGAATGTAGCATTAGAGGGTGTGGTTGGTTGTTCCTTTTTGACCTGTATAAATGAGTGAGTACCTGATAAGAACAATGGTGAGAAAAGCAAGTGTCTTTTTCAGTCCTGCCTATAAAATTCAAACTCACAACCTTTACACATTAAAGCTAGGGCCAATGTGGTGGTCTAACAGGCTAAGCTTCCACCTGCAGTGCTGGCATCCCATATGGGCACTGGTTCATGTCCTGGCTGCTCCACTTGCAATCCTGCTCCCTGATTATAACCTGGGAAAGCAGCAGAGGATAGCTTGAGTTCTGGGGCCTATCCATCCACATGGAAAGCTTGTTGAGCAATTTAATCAAGTGTGCAGGCTATATCTTAGTATTAGTCATTGTCCCTGTGCCTAACTCCCATGTTGAATAACTGAGCCTGCTGTTCCAGCAGCTCAAGAGGGACCCCGCTTTCAAGTGAGTCAGGAAAGGTGGAAATAGGAACCTGGCAGCTCCTCAGTGTGGACTGGGGGTGCCCCAGGTCCAACATGAGTCCTGTCCAGCGACTACATGCTGGCCTTGAACTCAGACAGGTAGGCGGCCAAAGCCTGACCTGTTTGACCACAATGGAATGACAACAGCTGCTGGCTAGATGGGTGGGTGCCTGGGGTCTCTTCCTGCCACACTGATGGTAGGACTTGGGAGCAATTAAAATATAATTCCCAGGTCTGGGAAATGAGGTTGTTGTTATGATAATTAATCATAGTGCTACGACCTATCACACTGGGTTTAATATGGAGTTGGATAAAATAAGGATTATGTAGTCCCTGGGACAGACTCCAACACTGCTCAGAGGCAGCTGCTGGTTTTTACTCGTCCTTCCTGTTGCGGTTGCCTTGGCTGGCTGTGCTGCCACGGAGGCAGGCATCGTTGCAGTGCCGGCTCCAGTACTTCACAGCAGATCAGACGTTGCATGATGCCTACAGATCCAGGGACAGGTGCCGTCTGGCTGCGACTCGCAGGCTTGTGCATCTCTGGGCTCAGTGGCCGCCATCTTCCTCCTCAGGGCGTCACGAAGATCAACGCTTTCAACTGGGCCAAGGTGCGCAAGCTGAGCTTCAAGAGGAAGCGCTTTCTCATCAAGCTCCGCCCCGATGCTAATGTGAGTGTGATGGGTGGGCGGGGCAGCAGGCGCACTGAACTGTGGGTAGGAATCTGTCTTGCCAGATGGTGACCTCTGCACTCAGCAGGGTGCCCTGCCACCAGGCAGCTCCCACCCGGAGCTGTTGTGAAAAGGAACCCAGGTGTCATCCGTGTGAAACCCGAATGTGGATCTGGAGAGAGAGTTGTTCTCCAAAGGCAGAACCCACAGCCTGAGCTGGGCCCCACCTGGGCCTCGCTCAGCTTCCTGCCACATCCCAGGAATCCACCTGCTGCCCACCTGATGTGCCAGCGTTGGCTGCCACACAGCTCCTGGGTAACTCCTCCCTGTGGCCTGACCAGGCTCACTCTCCACCCTTTCCTCCTCCCTCCCCCGTCCCTGCTTGCTTATCACCGAGCCCCTCGTAGTGTCAGTGTTGCTGTCACTGGAGTGGGTAGAGAAGCATCCCGTACACCTACTGGCCGGGCCATGCAGCAGGTGCGTGATAGGTGCATTCCTCAATATCTACCTTGGCCAGGACTCAGTCCTTTAAGGTGATGGGGGCATAGCTGCATCATGGATTGGGTGGGCTGACCTGGGGAGCAAACACTCACAGTAAAATAATTCCTATGAAAAAATACATCTTGAGTTCCACAGCCCTCACTTACCAATGAAGAATGACAGCACAGCTTGTCTGTTGCCCACGGTGGTGAGGCTCCCCAGAGTGGTTGCAGCTGCTGAAAATGCAAAGGACTGTGGTAACCTTTGTTGATCTAGCCTGGCCTCTTAAATGGGGAGTGTCCAGTGTGGGAGTAGAAAATGACCACATCCCCTTTCCAGAATCAAAGCGCTTGGCCTTCTCGGCTGCGACTAGTACTTTGGGACTTCAGGAAAGAAATGTGATTTCCTGTGGAGTTCATTCGTTCGAGGAGCCACCTGGACACGGGCTTGGTGCTGTGTTAGTGGGAAATGACTTAAGACAAAGTCAAAACGGGCATGAACCCTGAGGATGAAGGAAGACCTGGTGCGTGGTGTTACACATAGCATAAGGAGGCCCAGGAGGGGCCGTAGCACTAGGATTTTGTTTTGGATGGAAGGACAAGTCCAGTACAAAAAAATACTTGCTTATGAATTCTGGCAAAGAAAGAGTGTCACTTCCATTAACCCTGTCCTGCTATGTGCCATGAGAGCCTCTAAAGGGAAATTCTATGGAGAAGAAAATAGCTGAACATGAAATCTTTTGAGTTTAATGTCATAAAGCACACAGTTGAAATCGCACTGGACGCATGCGTGGCCCGTCTGCTCGCAGTCAAAGCGAAGGTCTGTGAGCAGCGGGCCAACTGCAGCCGCTGTTCTGCCCTTGTAGAGCTCATACCAGGATACCCTGGAGTTCCTCATGGCCAGCCGCGATTTCTGCAAGTCCTTCTGGAAGATCTGCGTGGAGCATCACGCCTTCTTCAGGCTCTTCGAGGAGCCCAAGCCCAGGCCCAAGCCCGTGCTCTTCAGTCGAGGCTCCTCCTTCCGCTTTAGGTGAGCTGGGGTCGGGGGTGGGCAGCTGCAGTGTTGCCAGAGCCGCTGTGCTGCTAGCAGACGGGGGAGGTATGCACTCGTGGGTCCCCAGGAGCTGGGGCTGATTGTCCTGGTAACCTCTTGCTATCAATGTGTTGGGCTCCGCCAAATGTGCTAGAGCAATTAGGCCATCTCAGCAGCCATAGTTGACTTCTAGCCCATCTAGCTCATTTAGGAAGGTTACTTTCTCATGTAAAAGCGTCTGATTGTCACTTGATTTTGCTTCACAGAATGATAGGTAGCTGGGCTCGCCACTGGGTTTCCGTGCGTTTGTCAATAAATGAGTATTACTGTGTGTCAGCTACCTTCCAGCCAACGAGGGTCTAACTGAGGCAAATTACTGTCCCTGCTTTTATGAGACATACTAACTTGTAGAGTGGTTGATCAGTAACTAAACATGCCGTTATTAAGTGGGTTCATTTATCCAATGCTTTTCCTGTATGTGTATCCAAAGCTACTTCAAACCACGCGTGGAACATTGGCATTGGAAGATAACTTGATTTTGGTGCAAAAGCATTTCTGAAACCCATGCAATTTGTTTTTCCCAAATTTGCATTGTGCACAAATTTGCAAAATATTCCACTAACAAGGGAAGTATCAAGACCGGAGGGACAGGAATCCACAGCTGTCTTAGCTTCTTACTGCTGCGGTCCTGCCTGCCACAGAAGGAGCAGGTGCCGAGGGCCCTATGAGACTGCCCTCATGTCATGTTCCTCTCTCCCTCCCGGTGTTTGTTTTAGTGGCCGGACACAGAAGCAAGTTCTTGACTACGTCAAAGAAGGAGGACACAAGAAAGTTCAGTTTGAGAGGTAAGAGTGGCTTCTGGCAAGCTCTGACTTGAGAAGGGGTGTACTAGGGGTTGGCGACTGGCCGCTTGCTAGCTCTGCACACGAGCTCGCTGTTGGGTGAGTGGATGACTTCTGCATGGTCATCACACTCAGCGCTTGCTGTGGGGCAGGGATGTGGAGGAAGACGGGAGGAGAGATGGAGAAGATGGGAGGATGATGATGAGGTCGCTGCCAAGGGCAGGGAAGGTGGGGGCTCAGAGAACAAGCGCTTGCTCATCCCTGATCCTTGCGGGTTCAGGAAGTATTGTTACACTCTCAACATGGCTGCAATGGCCAGAGCTGGACCAGTCTGAAACCAGGAGCATGTTTCGGGTCTCCCGTATGGATACATGGGCCCAAGGATTGGGTCATCCTCTGCTGCTCTCCCAGGTGCTTCAACAAGGAACTGGATTGGAAGTGCAACAGCTGGAACTCAAACCAGTGCTTGTATGGGCTACCACTACCAGCTACACCCCAACAGCACCCCAGTTCTGTTAATTTTTTAAAACTTATTTATTTGAAGAGCAGAGTAACAGAGAAAGAGAAATCTTCCATCCACTGATCAGTTTGCACATGCCTATGAGAGCCGACATTGGGCCACGTAAAGCCAGGAGCCAGAACTCTGTCCAGTCCAAGCCCCCATGCAGGTGGCAGGAACACAGGCTGTCCCTTGCTGCCTCCTAGTTTTCACATCAGCAGGAAGTGGGATCAGAAGTGGAAGTGTGACTCGATCGTGAAGCTGATATAGGGTACAGGTGTCCCACGCTGCAGCTTACCCTGCAGTGTCATGATGCCCACCCCTGTTGTGTAAGCTTGGATGAGATAGGACACAGCACTGTAGCTGTTGTTGTTGCTGTGTTTGCAAAGGCTTGCCGTTCTTATTGTGTACCAGGCACTGTCCCTAGCATAAACCTCAGGCTCCCCTCCAGACGGTCTCTGGCAGCTCAGCATCCTTTGACCTCCCTGATGAAGAAGGAGACCCTGAATCTCGTAGGAGGTAAAGGAGGCAGCCCAGGTTTCCCAGCTGTGCGTGGCTCAGAAGGAAGATGGGCGTCCAGCACTATTGAGTGCCTCTGGGCTTTTGTAGCTTTTGTTTTCTTTTTCACTTTCCTGCAGCCACAAATATGATAACGGTCAGAGAAGACAGCCAAGGATGAGCACCCATAACTCACAGCCCTGATCTCCAATGCCCCCAAGTACGCCATTAAAGCTACTCAGCTGGTGAACCTCATGTAGGGTCCCCCCCGCCAAAAAAACAAAAACCTCCCAAATCTGAAACATTCTGGTCCCAAGCCTTTCTAGCCAGGGCCTTCAGTCTGCACTTGGAATTAAGACTTGCTCGTTCGCTCAGCTCTTGTACCAGATGTGCCCAACGTAAAAGCCACAGGCTGTGTGACTCACCGCCTCCTTCCCGGGCACAGCTGCCTGGTTTATGCCCCTCCTGTGGTCTGTATTTCTGCCTCCCACAAGAGCAGAGGAACTGCCCTAGGCAAGTGCGTTTGCACTGGTAGACGTTCGTTCCTCATGGCTCCATGCCTTGCTCTTGAACCCTGTTTCGGAGGTGTGTTTTCACTCTCCTGTAGTCCTATGAAGAGTTCACGCTGTGTGGTCTCGTGCCTTGCAAATGTCCCAGTGTCATCTAGGTCTCCTGATGCGAGTCCGAGTGGGTTTGCAGAGTGTGACCTTCGGGTCAGATGTATGACACAGCGGACCCCATCACTTCCCTGGGTAATTCACAGTTCCTGTGTTCGGAGACCAAAGCCCAAGTTGTGGCTCATGAGCACTGTTTCAAAGCCTCGGCTGCTCCACTTCTGATCCAGTTCCCTGCTACTGTGCCTGGGAGAGGAGAGCAAGATGGGCCAAGTGTCTTGGATGCCACCACCCATGCAGGAGACCCAGGTGGACTTTCAGGTTCCTGGCCTCAGGCTGGCCCAACCCTGGCTGTTGTGGCCACTTCGAGAGTGAACTAGTATCTGGAAGACCGGTATCTCTCTCTCTCTCTCTCTCCCTCCTTCCCTTTCACCTTCTCTCTCTGTAAATCTGCCTTTCAAACAAATATTTAAAAATAAAATACTCTAAGGACCAAAACAAGCCCCAGTCTCTGTGATCCACAATGTGGATGCTCCAGGATTCCATCTGGAGCGCTGTGGGAAAGGCCAGCTCCCCCGGGGCCTGAGCTCCTGTATCCCGTGCCTCGTCTCTGCCGCCTGCTCGTGGGAGATGGATGAGAGGCCGAGTAAAGAAGCCAGAAGCTGTAGGCAGCATCACCTCCCTCCCCTCCTTCAGCCGAGTCTGTCCTTGCGCTCAGGCAGGACTCCTCCCGCAGGTGGAGCTACTGCTGGAGGCTTCTACGAGCAGCAACTGCCTCTGTTACAGAACCATCCAGAGAGTAATTAACTAGAATACACAAATTGATTTTATATTGTTGAGCCATGGCTCATGCCTGGCTAGCTCCTCACTCCCTCCCAGACCGTGCCCGTCGCTCAAGAGCCCTGTTCCCTTGCCATCGTCCATCAGCAGCCGCACAGGGAAATGCCAAGGACTTCTGCGAGATTTCAGTACCCTCTGAAACAGGCACGTGTTTTAAAAGGGTGACAGCTTTCCAGTCAGCGCGTAAGAGCCACTCTGCAGGAGCAAAGACCTGATGCTTCACACGTGAGGATCTTCAGTTCCACTTGGACACAGTCACGAAAGCTCACCCGGGAGCCTGTGTTGGGATGCACCGGGTTAAGCCTCTGCCTGCAATGCCAGCATCCCACATGCATGAGCTGTGGTTCAAGCCCCAGCTGCTCTCCTTCTGAACCTGTAAATGTTGCAGAAGCTGGGCTCCTGCGCCCACCTGGGAGAGCCGGCTGGGGCTTCGTGCTGCCGGCTGCATCATGGCCCAGCCTTTGCTGTTGCAGCTGTCCGGGGAGTGAGCCAGTACATGGAAAATCTCTCCATCTCTCCCTCTCTCTGTCCTCTAACTCTGCCCTATAATAAGTACATCTCTAAACACAAACCTGCCCTAACCGCGGCTGCCTTGTGTGATGTCTCCCAGGAAACACAGCAAGATTCATTCCATCAGGAGCCTTGCCACACAGCCTTCAGAAGTGGATTCCGAGGTGCCAAAGCAGGTGAGGAGTGGCTGGGTCCCGTACCCACAACGTTGCCTCCTCCGCACCCTGGGCTTGGTAGCACCCATGCCAGTCATTCATGGTTCACCCTGGGGTTCGTTAGGGGTGAGAGAGTCTGTCCAGGCACACGTCCTGGCCCTGACCAGCCAGAGGGCACCCAGGCTGCGTGCAGCAGGCAACATGGGATGGTCTGTTTGCACAGCAGGTCCTCTGTCTCTGAGCCACTCAGGAAGTTGCCCACTTGGCCAGAACTCAGTATTGCTGGGGGGAGGGGAGGGCCAGCTCTGTACCACTGGCATGAGTGCCCAGGGGCAGTGCCCTCAACTGAAGACCCGCCGTGGTCACTCTTGCCTGCTCCTGTGGCCCCATGGTTGGGCCCATGCTGTGTTTACCCAGGCCTCTCTTCTACAAAATAAAAGTTTTGTTGGGGGAAGAACATGAACAAGGTTTCAGGGTGAATCCAAAAAAAGAAAATGGAAAACCCTTGACCTGTCTCTGCTGCCCTAACAGGTGCAAGCACAGAAAGTATTTGTCATTTTTCTAAGATCGCATCAACACTCCTTCTGGTGTCTATGACCAGTTTTTCTTTTGCCACTGCCCACCTCCCTTGGGAAGGCCTGTCTTATTCCATGGAGTCTGAAAACCCAATATGAGACTATGAGACCTGGAAAGAACCTTCTGGAGCATGGCAGGTGCACTCCAATGAATGCCAGCCTATGGTTCCTTAAGCTGAGTCTGGCAGTCCATTCCACCACTTCAGAGTCACAGCTCCCAATAAAACTAGATGCTGGTGACAACCATGTCCATTTCTGTCCCCTTCATCCTTTCCTTCTCCCTCTTTTCCCAGTCTCCTCAGAGCGCCAGCCTTATGTTCGGAGAAGGGGCCGAATCCCCTGGGGGCCAGAGCCGCCAGCATGGAAAGGGACTGAATGCCTCCACCACCGCCGCCACTGCCACCAGCGCCGCTGAGGACCTGGGGCCACAGTCGGGGTCACAGGCCAGCCCTGCTGTGCGGAAGAGCCCCGCGGGTAACAGGCAGGCGGACGGAGCCGGCCAGGCGCCGCCGGAGGAAGAGGAGGAGGTCGTTAAGGATAGGACCCAGCAGAGTAAAGCCCAGCCCCCGCAGCCAAGCACAGGTCCAGCATCCCGGGCTGCTCGGGGCAGCAGCACGTCCATTCCTTTCATTGACTGCAGTGACGTAGACAGCGAGTATGACCTCCTCAGAGAGCAAGTGCCCCGCTCCGGGTCCCAGACAAATGACAACTGCGAGGGCGATTTGACCAGTGGGGTCTGTCTGCTCTCCAGGGATGAGAGGCAGGGAGAAGCAAGGCATAGGGCATCCCCGCGCTCTGCCAGGTCCTCCCGGCCTCATTCTAGAGAATTCCTACATGACGACTCGGCAGATGTCACCTTTGACATGAGCAGGAGCACCAGACTCCCAAGACATAGCTCCCTGATAGACGAGATATTCAAGGGTTCAGCTGGGCACAGTCCCCTGGCCACCCCGTTGTCTCCCAGCAGTAGCAGTTCCAGTCCAAGCATGAGCTGGGACAGGACTGGGTCCCAAGGCTATATTTCTGAAAATGGCCATGACCCAAGAGAGGGTGTGGGAGAAGACCCTCTCCCCGACCAGGGTCCTTGCTATGAAAACTCTTCCCCCATCCCGTCAAGGCCATACTTGAGGACCCTGCCGAGTAGATACAACAAGTCAGAAACTGACCCACTCATCCTAAGCCAGCTAGCATCAACCCCAGACGCCCTGGGTAGTTTTGATGACCACGATAAGGGAAGACAGGTCAAAACGGCCGCCTCCCCTGGCAGAAGGCTGGCCAATGGCACGCCTGTCACCAGTCCAACTTCTAGGATCCCCACGGCACAGTCGGTGCACGCTAGAGGCAGGGAAGGCCAGCTGGCTCCCTTGCAAGTGACCGAGGGCTCCACCAGCAGTGGGAGTGAATCCAGCGATTCAGACTCAGAAGCCGTGAGCCCTGCACACTGGCCCCTGACGTTCGGTAACCCCGCAGTCCTGCGGTCCCCTGCCAAACTGAGAAGTCGCGTGTCTGTGGGTGGCCCATATTTGAGTGGAGAGAGAGAGGAGGAGGAGTGAGGAGGTCAGAAGGCCAGTTTTCAGCTCTTGGGGATCTGGGGAAATGAGCCCAAAGGTGGCGATGCAGAGGATCTGTTCAAAAACTCTTTGATTTTTTTTATAGTCCATGTTTGATAGAGAAAGTTTTAGGCAGGTGCCTGTAAGAGCAGTGCCCCTCACACAGGCGGCTTGCTTTCCAGAAAAGACAGGCAAGGTTTTGTAGCACATGCTAATGCCAGGTGACCAGGAGCCCATCTGGCTGGCTGGTTGACGGCCAGCAAGCAATACTCTGCTGTGAGTTGACGGTGTGCGTTGTCAGTGGTGGTTTTCTGTGGCTGTTCAGTCGTGTACACTGCTCCTCTTCCATTGGCTGAATCCTGGGACAAAAATGCGGCAGTCACGGGAGAGGTGTTGGCTTAGCTGTGTCTTCCCTTCTTTTTAAGAGGAGGACTGCTTTTCTGTGCCTCATTGAGGAGTTGGTACAAACTTCAAAGCCAAATGAAGTTGGTGGCTAGCTTAGATCACGGATACCTTCAGGGAAAGGCCTGGAGTTGTTTGTTTTCCAGGCCTTGACCGAAATGCTTTAAAATGTCACCAAATCTTCGTGAATTGTGATTTACTAGAGATTCCTGGTGTGCTTTGCAGTGGTGGTAGTGGGATAATTTGTTTGAAGAGGTTATCTTGCTGGCCTTCTCGGTGCTGTGTGATGCAGCATGGCTCTGTTCTCCCCAGGAGGTCAGCGCTGAGCTGGCACCTGCTTCAGGCCACGCCCAGCGCGGGGGCGTGGCTCTCAGTGCTGTAGGTGGTTTGTGTGCTTTCTTTCCATGTGGATCCTAAGTGGGCTGTGGGGATGTTTGAGCAGAAAAACAGAAGGTGTGAGGAAGGAGCACGTGGTTTGACCCCTCCTCAAGTCTTTCGCCTCTGCAAGGGGCGCCTTCCTGCCTGGACTCACCTTGGCCTTGTGTCTCTGGTTTAGCTGTGTATTGGAATCGCTGGATGGATTTTTGGGAAAATTAACCCCAGAGGTTCTCCTCTCATGAGTCTGGGGTCCAGGCCCTCCCCCATGTGGCTACCAGCCAACCAGCCCCAGCTGCCTTCTAGAGTGTGATGGAATACGTTGAAAGTGGTAGCTCAGTTTTGGGCTTACATGCAGAGTCAGTACAGCATTGCAGAAACATGAAGACATGTTTCTTCTTCATGTCTATTCTTTGTGTTCAGTCTTTAATAAGTTTAAAAGATAAGTTGTAGAATAAAATCGTTAGATCCTAAGTGACTATAAAATCATTAAAGAGAATTTTAATGATGAATAATTCGTTACGGATCATCAGGCCAGTGGCTTCGCTGTGCTCATCTGTGAGTTTATCACAGGAAACTGGGACTGGGCAGCAGGCGTGTTCACAGGTCAAGGTGTTGATTGACCTGCCGTCCTCAGATCGTGGTCTGCCCGAGGATGTGAGTAGCAGCTTTTGAAGATTCTGAAGACTTAACCTGATTTTCTATACAGATTTTTATGTGCCTCTTCACTTGATTCAATGCATGATTGACAAATCAAATAGATAATTGGATGGTTTGCAAGTTGTCCGTTGCAGTCATCTAAGCCTTGCTTTAGATTCGTGCACTCGGCGTTTCCGAGCCGGTCTGCTCGCCGCGGACCTTCACGTCACGGGAGAGAAGCCTCGTGTGACCCGGCGGCTTCACGGGCGCTGGCTGCCGCTGCGACGTGGCAAAGCTGCAACTCACCCCGTGCTCGGAGTTCAGCTTCTTAATCCATGTGACTTCTTGGTGCAGTAGAGCCTTTCTAATTCAGTATTGTGGTTTTTGGAGAGTCTTGTCTGGGCTAATCATCGCAATCAGATGTGAAGACTACATACCCTGTGGATTTTGTGGAGACCATGACGGGTCAGAATAAGCTGGGAAGAACTATTTTTCCTGTTGGTGGGGGTTTTGCAGTTATAACGTACGTTTCGCATATTCTGTTTTGATGTCCACTCGCTATATTGAGAATATGGTCAGATGTGAGTTACTCAGTTATGTTTGAAATCCTGTGGTTTATTTGTGAAGGTCGTTTGTTCAGGTGGCTTTTCCATTTATCTCTAATCACACTGTAGTCTAATAATGAAACACAGTCAAACAATACTGTGTTAACATAAGCAACATCTGTGAAGCATTAAATAGAAAACTGCAGCAAAACATAATCTAGTGATTCTTTGATTCTGCTTTTTCCCCCAGAGCTGAGTTTACCCTAGCATTTTAAAAGCTGTTGGTGTTACGAGCACCAAATACAAGTGTGTTTTCGAAAAGTTTTCTGCACTTTCAGAGTTCTGCATTTTCAGAGCTTTTCCTCTCATTGCATGGGGAGCTGGCAAGTGACTCATTTCTGGTCGTTGTCCAGCAGGTGTGAGAGCAGCAAGCCTGGCATCTGGCATGGTTAGTTAGTCCTCGTTCCCTCTAGAGGACCTTGGCCTACACTCAGACAGAGCGCAGAACTGGTCAGGGCACAGCACATGTGTTCCTCGAACCTGGTCGGACAGGTTTGCTGAGGTCACATGTCAGAGCTCAGGCCTGAACAGCCACCTCTGCCATCCCACTCCGGGGGAAGCTCTTGGCAGAGGCTCATGGTGCCTCAGCAGGGCCTGTGTGTGTATGAGTCGCAGAGGGCCCCAGGTGGGGCTGGGCGTAATGAACAGGAGCAGAGATGAGAGATTTGTGAATACATTCAGGTTTCCCAAGGGTTTCCTTTAGACCTGTCCGCTAACGTTCCCCGGACAGTAGTTAGTATGTGCATCTCCAACAGAAACAAGGGGCTCTGACTGTTAAATACTGGTGGTTCTTTGCTGCCTACCCCAAGGCCATGGGTGAAAGGCAAGCCCTGTTCAGAAACCCACACCGGAGAACCGTTCTCAGCTACTCCGGTAAAGCCTTGCCTTGCAATCTTGTTGGAAATTATTTCAAAATGCATAAACTACAGGCCCTTCTGTGGTTGCTGTTGCTGGTGACGAGCAAAATAAAAATTGCAAGAAATTCTTTGAGCATGAAGAAATGCACTTAATGAGTTCCAGAACTTAAAATGAACTGCCTCAGCTCCTTTAGCAGTCATCGGTATGCCATTGACAGCATTTTATTAGACAGGCATTTAATTAGAGGAAGCTTGTGAGCCAGCTCCTCCCTCCACGTGCGATTCATTTGAGGGCATTCCTCACAGATTCAGCTCACCAGATGATGCTGCATGGCCTGCACTTAAAATAGGAATAATTCTGATCTCATTGTGGAGGGCATCTATGAAGATTCAGACCAGTCAGTGCTTCACAAGCAAGGCCTACAAAATGAAAAAGTTTCCAAGAGCCTCTCAGTTTGTATCGTGTATCCAAAATCAGTTGTATTCTGAGACCTAGCCCTGCGTTGAGAAGTCGGAGGGTGGCCCCGCAAGCCTTCAGGCTCGTGGTCACTCTATTTGCTTCTGTCACTTCGCTTTGCCCGGCGTTCACTCCAGTGGATCAGAGTTTTCAGAGCTCCTAGGGTTCATGGCCAAGAAAGGTGCCTTATGCTTGACCTTCTGTCTCGGCACACACGCTTCCTCCCCGGCCTGAAGCTCGTTGCACAGCATGACTTTCTGCTAATGCCGCTCAGGTTTGCAACTCAAACTGCAGAAGAGTCTGTCCAGGCAATGCTGATCATAAAACAGGATCCTTTGGACCCCGAAGGAGGGGAATATTTCAGAATTCCCCATTGCTTGTAACTCCAGTGAGTTTTAGATTCGACCCCAATCGCCAAACCCTGAGAACATTCGGAAGGAAAGGTGCCGTGGAGGGGAGCGCCTGTGAGCAGTGAGGAAAGAACTTGGCTCTGGCGACACTGCAGAACAGACTGGCGCTGCTTTTCCTTGTTAGTCCCATCGCTTTCTGCTGAGTGACAGCTGATCCAGGAACCGTGAATGCCTGTGTGCACCTGTGCCACCAGTTGCTGCTGTTTAAAACAAAGCTGTGACTTTTAGAGGAAAAACCAGCCTGCCACTTCTTGTAATCCTTGCCCTTTTAGCGAATAATAATCATG